ATTAAATATAAAAATATTTTTAAATCTTCGAAATTTTATTAAAAATAATAAATAATATTTATAATTTAGTGTTGTTAAGTTGGCTATACGGGAAATGTTACATTAATAGGAATCGTCTCTATGGTAAAAAAAAACACATCTTTAGCAACATCAATATATTATATTTTTATAGTTATATTATTATTTTCAATATATTTTTAAAAGAGTAGTGTAGTGAATTTTGTTTTACAAATGTTTTTTCAAACTTTCCTTTAAAAATTAAACGACTAAAGAACATAATAAAAGTGATAGAAGATTAATGACACTAGTATTACATTATTGTCTTTGCTATCAAACATCAATGATTTTTAAAATATAATTACTGGCCTATCGTTAATGTTTTAATTAATAGTAAAGTATTCTTGATTATTCAAAGTTACAATTACCATGGAAACAAATTACTTTTAATACACATTGCAATTTTCTTAGTAAATTGATGTTATTTAATACTTTTTAATAAAAACAATTTTCTTTCTTCTTGTGTATAAGGATTAAATAATTATACTAGCAAGTTTTCAACGTTTCATGAAATGTACATTAAATTATATATGGTGATGTCCTTTTTTTTTAATATAATCCAATACAATTTTCAAGAGTTATTAAATGGAGTACGATAAAGATTGTATGCTGTTGAACATTCAGACTTAATCCAGTCGTAAGTACATTTATTAAAATATTATTTTAAAATATCTAAAATTTCAATAAATTACCATCAATATAGATATTATTCAAGGTATATTTACTTTATAATAATTAAACATTATCCAGAAAAAAATGTGGTCATTAAAAAAGTATACCACTTTATTTATGTAAATTACTAGTTAAATTTGTTTGAAACCTTATTAAGATATATTTTTTTAAGTTTAAATAATTGCTGTTTATTTATCATGTATGTTTTAACAACTATTCATCATAATTAAAATTTATTATATTTGTTAAATTCACTAATTGTATTATATACTTTATTTGCATATTAGTACTAATAGTAGTAATTACACAAACAATAGTACATTATGGGGAGGGTCGATAATAATGTTAGAAATATATTTTTAAATGATAATGATTAAATTGTTTTAGAAATAATTATTATTATTAAAAAATAAACCTTTGGAAAATTATATATATATTCAATGAGGTTCTTTTAATTTTTTGTCAATTTAGTAATACTTGAATAAAGAAGTTTGGACATAAACTTTTTTTTCCAAATATATTTTATAAAATTGGTAATATATCTCTCAGATTTAATGTTGGCCATTCTATTTCTCTTGGAAAAAATATTGAGAGTCATCTTTTAGCTTTCATTATATACATATATTTCTTTAATTATCTATAGTTATAATTTTTTTCTATAAACTTTTAATAATAATAAATTTATCATTTGGTTTTTTACTATAATAAACCTTTCAATAATACTTAAATTAATTAAATTGAAATTCAGAAAAGTTGTAAGAAATATTAGATCAAAATTAAGGCTAGAATGATGTCTAATTATTAAATTTGGCTGAGATAATTAACCAAGATGTATTTTTATTATTCTATATTTGTACTCTAGAATTATTAGCTATGTGATAATTTTTAAGTCCAACCCTTATGCCTTGTATGGGCGTAAACATTGTCTTTTCAAATGAGAACACTTATTTTGAATTAATTTAAATAAAGTATTGTTTTAATATTAAATGGCATTTGAATTTTTAACATGACTATTTTTTTATTAAATATAAAATATTAAATTTTTGAGTTAATATAAATGTATAAGCCATTTTCTTTTAATTCTATATTTGTCTAATGATAAAAATGTTACTAAAAAAGATACTAAAAGCGATAGACATTTGATGATAGAAACCAAAATTTACAATATTGTCTTTGCTAAAAAATTACAATGATTTTTATAATATATAATTTTCTTCTTCTTCATATTATAAATTATAAATCATATTTGCAATTATTTAATATTTTATGGAATATACGTTAAATTATAAACAGTATTGCAATTTGCATTGGAATGACTTACAGTAGTGGTTTTAATCACTGTTAAATTTAAATCTAAACAGATTTTCCATTTGGCCAGAACTTTTCTATAGACACATGTAGAATAAAATTTCAGTGAGTGTTATTTTTATTTTCTCACTCTAAAAAATATTTTTATTTAAGACCACATTGTATCCTACATTTTCTGTGAGGTCAATATAGCTTATAGATTTTAGTGAAATTTAAATTAATTTTTTTTTTGTTCTTAAAAAAAATAACGAAAATATGCTTTAAACGTTTTCTAAAAAATTCCAATTATTTTTTATTTAATAACATTCCTATGTAAACAGAACATTTTTGAAGTGGATGAATTTCATGGGTGACAATTGATTTAAAATTAGCAATCGAACTTTATATATATCAAGTTATTAGTATATGTGTCATTTTTTTCCCTGACATTACACTTTAAAGACAGTATAATCTTACTAGAGTATATTATTAAAACTAATACTTACTAAGTATTAAATTTAAAATGTGTAAATTATGAGCAAAATTAACTTTATCAAAGATTTTGATTTATTCTATTAAAAATTGTTATTAATTATAAAAATATTTTTAAATATTCGAAATTTTATAAAAAATAATAAATAATAGTAATAATTTAATATTATTAAGTNACTTTCAAAACAAACGATGACTTTAATCTTATAATATAAAAATAGCGGGCTGTACATAGTTTGATATATCGAGACAGTTATGTCACTAGTACGCGCTATAAATTTGCAAATGTAAAAAAAAACTGGCTGTACTATGCTAACATTTTCAGAAAGAAATGTCGCATGTACGAGTTTTAACATTTGCTATAAAAAAGTCATTTGTTATATGTATCTTAAATAAATTGATACATTCACAATTATGTTACAAGGCTATTGAATTGTGATAATTTTAGAGGTATCTTTAATATAAGAACAGAATTTTTTTTAATTTCCATAGTCAAATAATTTTTATAACAATTACATTACTACACACTTTTTTTTTTATCTAAACACTAAATTTCTCGTACATTATAATTTATGTATTCAATATTTTTTTGTGGGTGAAATTCAAATAAGTTATGATTAGAGTCTAAAGTGAAGTGAAATTTATTTCAAAAATTTAGTACATTTAGTTGAATAGGCATAACTAGAAGCTATGGTAATTTACAAAAAATGTAGGATATATCTGTGTTCTTATATAAAAATATTTTTAGTGTGAAAAAATAATAACACCGTGTAAAATATTAATTCTAGTTGCACTTGTAAATTCCAAAAAAATGGGAACTCATTTAGATTTTAATTTAAAAGCAATTAAAATCACTATTTTAAATAATTTGTATAAGAATGTACATAAGAAGTTCTCTATTCGTGTTGAGCCTAGTTCTAGGACGAATTAAAACTTTTATTTAGTATAGATAATAAGTGTAGTTAGATAAAATATCAATTATGACTTTGTTAACAGATGTTCTGGCTATTCTTTTAGCTTCGATGCGAAGCTGAGAATGTATTGGTTTTACTAAGATGTTTTTTTTTTTTTGTCTGTTACCACTTTTTCTCAGCTCTCACCGAACCGATTTCTTTCAATGATACGTCAAAAGATCACAAACCGTATCTAGTCGAAGACATTGCCCTCAAAAATTGAAAAAAAATCCCTCGTTCCCCGTAAATGGGAGAAACCTCCAAAAAAATTACAAATTTAAAAAATTGCTTGATCCAACTATGCTGCGACCGCCCTGTGCTGGGTTTTATTTTTTATTTTTTTATTTTTAACTTTATAATGCTATAACTTATTGAAAAGTGTATGGATCAACATAATTTTTTTATGAGAAATAATATTTTTTAATAATCCCTTTTTCATTCGATATACTTTATCTGAATCAGGATATTAATAACGAACTAGCAGATCATGTTGCTTTTGGAATAATCCACCTATATTTTAAAATTAAACACTATCTAAAGATTTGCATCGTAGCGTTTTTTTTGATAGTGATTTTAATCACTGTCAGATATCATTATACTTGATCCAAATATGTCACGTCACCACTGTGCCGCGACCCCCCTGTGCTGGGTTTTTTTTTAATTACAAAATTTAATGGAAATAAAAAGAAAACAAAGTGTATTTATTTTATATGCTTATTATTAACATTAATGTAAAATAAAAATAATTTTACTAATTACATATAAGGTATAAGATTAAGTTTAGAGAACTCGCATGTAGTCCCTACTCTAGGTATTTATTACCAAACTAGTTGACCCGAGATGAGATTTTTTCTGATACTATTATCGTTATTGTTGTAAAAAAAATGCTAATTAATCACAATAATTTTCATATTAATAAATAAAGATCGATTCATTTTTTTACCGTTTTATCTTTTTTAGGTACTTTCGTACCCCGAAAGAAAAAATTATTTTAAACAATAAGTAGTAACTCACCCCACCCAACAAAAATTATTATTTTATTTGGGGTTAATATGTATCTATGTTTAAGCTTCTAGAAGATTTGATTTTCAAAAAATTGTATTATAATAATAATAATTAACGTATTATAATTACCATGTATACAATATTAAAATTATGATATCATCATATCTGTGAAAAAAACTAAATGTATGTTTTGGAAAGTGTTTTTTGATTTTTCATAAAAAAATAATACCATGTTTTTTCCAATTAAATAAATATAATATATAATCTCTTCATTTATTTTTTTCAACAATTATTTGAGTTTAATGATTCGATAAAATTTAAATTAACATAGGGAAATATATGTATTTCACTCTTGTTGTGACTAAAGAATAAGTATAATATATAATACTGTACCTTAGTAAAATACATATCCAAGATAAATAAATAAATTAAATTATATGCTAGTAACTAAAGAAAACTTTTAGCGCTTACATATAGTTGGCAAACAAATTTAATAATTCCAACATAAATAATAGCTGATATCGTCACGGCATTTTATATAGGCAAATTAGCTACATGTGTGTACACATTGCTCACAATTTTGTTCATCAATAACTCACAAGGAGCTACACCAATATGTGGTATTGTTGTACATCGATACTCTAGTAATAAATCATTTGATTCCTTTCTTTCACCTATGGATTTTTTTAACAACTGTTTAGCTGTTTGAACTGCTCTCTCTAATAAACCATTCGACTGAGGATAGTTAGGACTAGATGTTCTAAGTTCAATGTTATATTCTTTACAAAATTTTCTGAATTCATGTGAACCAAATGGTACGTTATCCGATACTATTATTTTGGGACACTCATGTACACTCATAATAGTCTTAAATTGACTAACCATTTCATTAGCAGTTTTTCTTAGTATTCTATTGATTTCTAATCACTTTAAATAATGATCTGCTATTACTAAATAGTCACTACCACCAAATGTTAGTATGTCACAGCTTACTATTTCAAACGGTAATGTTGGGGTTTCATGTGAAATCAGTGGTTCCTTAATATTAGCATTCCTAAATTTTACACACACATTACATTTGTTAACAAACTGTCTAATCTCATTTTCCATACTAATCTAATAAACTTATTGTTTGGCTCTTAGTATCGTTTTTACAACTCCATTATGTCCTTCATGAATTAATTTTAAAACATTATTTCTCAGACTTTTAGGTACAACTATTCTGTTATCATAATAAATTATCCCACTTTCTACAACAATTTTATCTTTTAATTTCCAAAAATGTCTTATACTTTCATGCAAATTATTTTTATTAGTAGGCCACCCTTTATTATATATTTTAATCACTTCTTTTAATTCAATATCACTTTTTGTCTCTAAACTTATTATTTCAACATTAATGTTTTTATAATCTATTGCATGAATAACTCCTATCTCTTCCTCTGAGTCTACATCATTAAAATAGTCTCTAGACAGCAAATTTGCAATGAACATAAGTTTGCCAGGTAAATAATTAACCTTAAGATCATAGATCATAAGTTTCATTTTCATTTTTTGTAATATTACAGAAACAACTTTATCCAAACTTTTTTTAAAAATTGTCACCAATGATGAATGAACACTATACTTAACATTTCCTTCTCAATCTGTGCATATCTCTACTCAGTTTCATTTAAGCTTCTTGATGAAAATGCTATAGGCCTATTCTCTTGAAGTAAGCAACAACCTAAACCAGTTTGTGAACTATCAAATTGTACTGTAATTTCTTTACTTTGGTCGAAATTGACCAATACCTGTGGACTAGAAATAATTTTTTTTAACTCATTCACAACATCATCATGAGTATTAGTCCAACACCAACTAATGTTTTTTCTTAACAAATCTCTAAATGGTGTTATAATTGTGGACACATTAGGTATAAAATCTCTCAAGTAATTAAATGCTCCTAACAGTCTTTGTAACTCTATTTTATTTTTAGGTGCTTTCACTCTAACAGTGCTCTTACTCGGTCATCATCTGGTTTCATGCCTTCATTATTGAAATTCATTCCCAGATATCTAATTTCTCTTTGTTTATAATGAATTTTATTACTATTAAATTTTATATTTAATTCCTTTGCTCTCTTTTAGACTTTCTCAACTATTAAATCATGCTTTTGCTCATCTGATGTTGCTATGAGCAAATCATCAAAGTAAATTAGTGCATCTTCAATGTCACCAAAACATTCTAAGTTTCTTTTTTGAAATTTCTCTGGTGCACAAGACAAACCAAAAGGCAATCTTAAAAATCGATAAAAACCAAAGGGTGTACTAAATGTACAAAGAAAACTAGAGGCTTCATCTAACTCCATTTGCAAAAATCANGAGGCTTCATCTAACTCCATTTGCCAAAATCCACTTTTTAAATCAAATAATGTAAACCAACTTTTACCACTTAAGTTGATCCTAAGTTCTTCCAATGTAGGGATTAAAAATTGATCTCTTACTATAACTTTATTCAGCTCAGTTGGGTCAAGACAAATTCTTAATGATTTATCTTTTTTTTCAACTATAACTATGTTACTAGAGCATCCCTGTTCTAATTATGTTTAATAATGTTTAATTATGTTTTTATTATTTACGGTACACTTTAAATCAACATAGCCCAAATTTTTTATTATAAAACCACCATAAGCATTAATTTTTAAATAAGGTTTCTTAATATTTTTTTTACACTTTATTTTTTTATAAATGCATAACGGTATAATATCAATGTTTGACCCAGTATCTAGTTTAAACTTAATTGTGTAACTATCATTTATTTTAATATTTTCAACCCATTCATATTTTATTAAATTTTTATTATTAATTTCTAAGGTATTAATTTCAAAAAGTTTAAAATGAGGTTCATTACTATTGCTGACCCTATCTTCTTGAATATTATTCACTTGTTTGAAACTATTCTTCTGCATTAGACAACCAACTGCAAAATGATTCAATTTACCACACTTCACGCAACTTTTCCCAAAAGCATAGCACTTGCGAGGGCCATGTCGTTTACCACATTTTCTACAATTATATTCTGCATCTTCATTTATTGACTTTTGATTAATATTATTATTGACTTTTTTTATATAAGTGTTACTGAGAATTTCAGTAACATTAATATCCGCTTCATTTTTATTATTGAGTATTGCTAGATGATGTTTAGAAAATTANTATTGAGTATTGCTAGATGATGTTTAGCCAATTCCGCCGACTTGCAATGCTCTACTATTTTGTCCACTGTTAAGTCAGGAGCTCTTAATAACCTTACTTGTAATCCTTTATCACGTACTCCCAAGACAACACGTATTTTAACCATACTGTATTCTAGGTCTCCAAGTTTACATCTTTTTGCAATAGTCTTAATGTCTCTTAAAAATTTATCAAAGGATTCAAAATCTTCATGTTCTCTTTGACAAAATGAAAACTGCTCAATAATCACATTAAATTTAGGTTCATAGTAATTCAATATGACTTTAAATATATTTTCCCAAGTTGCACTATGACCTGTAGAATTTAGTGATTCTAGTAGCTCATATGCTTCATCACCAATATCACTTAATAAAATAGGCTCTTATGTAAAGATCTAATCTTTTTTTAAATAATTTAATATTATTTATTACCATAGCCGTATCGCCTATATCTAACTGTGGTGGTGAAGATACTGCCAAAACAATCTACTGCGCCATGTTTTATTGTTGTTTGGTTCTTAGTGTAGGTTTTATTAATTAATAGACATATATATTATGAATAATATAGATTTTTATTATGTAGCTACGCACTATATGACATTAATACAAAGAAAAACGTAACCGAAGTGTATATCAAAAAAATATGTTAAGATATGTAATGGCTGAAACAAGACAATGTTGTCAACCACACAACAAAAGTATATATAATTTATTAATTATTAAATTTCTAAAATTAAATTAGATATTACATTACTTTATGAATGATGTAGTCTTTAATTTAATATTAATACTATGAAAATAGAATATTTATAAGATTTACTTTTTAAGTATTCCTAATAAGATAGATTAATTTAAATGTCGTATTAATTACTTTAAATATATATTTAAAAACAATTTTTTCTTACTTACACAATTATTCATAAGTTTATAACATAAGTTATCGCAAGATTATATTTATTTACATATAATTTATTCGCTTCGATGCGAAGCTGAGAAGGTATTGGTTTTACTAAGATGT